TACGGGGAGATCTGCATTTCATTAGGCAGATAACATACATGGTCGTTGGTTTGGGCTTTTTGGGTTGTTTCGAAGCAAAGGCTATTTAGTATATACAGTTAGGGTTTAGAGTTTAGGGTTTAGGGTTTAGGGTTTAGGGTATATTAGTCTAATAAGAATAGCCCCCTTTTCACACAAAGCCCAGTTTGCAAGCCTCCGAGCTGATCCCTTCTCGCCACGAGCTCCTAGCTCCGCAAGGCCTTTGGTTAGCAGCTATTTAGGATCCTATTCAGTACACTAAGTAATGTAGGTTTATATGGGTATTACAAACCGTATGTGCTCAATAGCACCACCAGTGCACTAATTTGTACATAAGGTTGATAACTTCAGGAACAAAGTAACTATATAAGGATCAACCGGCCTATCATTCCTAGTACACATAGCACCTAGGAGGAGCTACTAGCAACCGTTCGCCTTCAGAGCTTCGGCCTGCAAGCTTCGCTTGACAACTACAAGGAAACGGTACAAGCAGTTAGTGGACATGGTTCTGTAATCCATTCGGCGCTTCATCTTCATAACAGTCTTGATGTAATCCTCATCCATCCACGTCGTATCCTGGCTGGGGTTGCGCCGGGACAAGCGCTCCATGGCATCGTCAATGGTGTGGTTGAGCATGTGCAGCTTCGGCCTGCACTTAAACAGGTATTCATGGTTGCTGAGCGCCTGCTGGGCCAGCCTGACGTAACTCGTAAGCCACATGTTGCCCACAACATATACTGTAGCAGCCTCATCTTCCGTCAGAAAGGGGCCTGCGTGCTGCAAACAGCTCATGAAAGTATCGGCTGCCCAAAGGTTCATGATTAAGCCATTGTATCGGGGCGGGGGTTTCTGCTGGACCGTCACCACGAGGTACTTAAGGAACACCATAGCATCATGCCCAGACGAATGTAGTTCAGGGCATGAGTCGGACTTCCAACGGATGGTTTCCTTTTTGACCCCAGTCAACGACAGCTGCATTCCATGGGATTGTGCGAAGCTTCGGAGTTCACGAGAAAGACATTTGAAGCGCTTCTCGATGTTCGAACCCAAATAATAATTCTTGTCTCGTATCAAGATCTTAACAGTAGATCCGACGATGTCCCGCAAGCACCCAAGGTTCCACGTATGAAGCAAGTCAGTGGCAACCATCCTCATGGAAAATCCTACCAGCCTTGATAAGGCTGGCGCTGCATTCCACGGATCCATCACGCCCCTCGTCGCTCTCCAGCCAGCACTGCTGGAGACATCCGTGTAAACACGGTGAAAGTTTGCAGTGCGTCCCATGGTAGCCAAACACATATGGCAGACCTTCAGGGATTATTTGACGATATCCAATGTTGAGCCGGGGTTTTAAAGACTAATTATCAACCGATACTGATAAATTCTTTAAAATTGGGGGGTCCTTCCTGCATATGGAGTCTATCGACTTTCCCTTTAAAATTCATCTCACAGTTTGTTGAAGGCTTCAATAGGTCCCACGGTTGCCTCTTCACTTCCAGGATGGCGCACGAGGTTGAAGGCTTGCTTGAGGAATTTTAAGTCCCCTTTCACCGAAACCACAGAGAAGAAGACAGTCTTAGTTCCCACTTAAAGTAGAAATATAGAGGTATTAACCTTGTATGCCCAACAAATTAAAATAAGGCTAAGGACCCCGATCCCCGCGAGAATAAAGCAAAGGCCAAACTAAATATATGTCCTTAATATACTACAAGGGTCTCCGAACTTCTCATCATGCAGCCCTTCGGTTGCAAGTTTGTTGAGGTCGTCAACAACAGTGTCGAACAAGGCTTGAAGCGAATGGTTCACTTTGGCATCATCCACATGGTAGCGCTTGACTGGCAAGGAAAATATAATGTATCTCGAGGCCTTGCCGTTGGTACGGTACTTGCAGAGGTCCGGGGTCCTAGGTCATTTCGGGATTTGTTTAACACACCTAACCCAAGCCCCAATCAGAAATTATTAAGCTAGTTAGGCCACTTAAAAGAATTCGGCTTCAGGGCTTTAAGCTTATATGTACACTTGTCAGGGCACCACGTACTCACCATCCAGGATTTCTTGCGAACTTGACCTTCATCACCCCAAAGAAGAATAGGAACAGTCTTGGACCAGTTCTCAGGCTTGGAGTGCATAGGATGGTTCGGGAAATCTTGTAGAATCGTAGCCCAGTAGGAGGCCAGCTCTTCAAACGGAGCCAGAACTTCCCGAAATCCTTCCCGCAACAAAGCTTTCGCCTGAAATCGACACAGACAACATAAAGGATATTTTTGGGGGTGTGCAGGCCGCTTAGGGTTGTTAATAGGGTTCAGGGTTTAGGCTTAATATTATGGTGCTATTGTGTATATGTTAAAGACAAACATATCAAAGCACTTCCAAGCATACTTAAAAGACCAAAGGGCCACTTGGCTCGGAAGGAGAACAGGCCAACTCTGAACAGAGACCTCCTCATCCCCATCCTCACCCAGAGCCACTACAGGAATCTGTGTATACGAAACCTCCACATCTAAGGCTGCTCCAGAGGATGCCACACGATTGTGAAACTCGGCTTCTCGTAGTGGGCGGGTGTCGTATCCACCCAACAAGTGGGATCCATAAGTATCTCCTGAGTGATTTAGGTTTTCCTCATCATGCACATATACACCCTAGCAAAGAAGTATTAGGCCAGTCTGGTCTTGCAAGCCATCGAAGATTGCGCTTCAAGGGTCCTTCTTTGTAGCTACATCCCGAACTTAACTAGGTTTAGGGTTTAGGGTTTAGGGTTTTAAGGAAGTAATTGATATTAATGCCATATGTAAAGATTGCCTGAATTCTGAAATAATCACATCGAACACTGCATGGAGGAACCCCAAGCCAAGGCTCCCAGATCACAAGCCAAAGTAACATCCATCTGGCCCTCGCAGACGGCTCCAATGATCCTGAGCTCAGTTTCGTTGCTGCAAACACCCCAGCCTTCTAGCCTTAATTCATGTAGACCTACAATATGTTCGGTTCCCATGCTTTTGAGCTGGAGATATATAATCCTCTTACCATTCGGTACTGGAGCCCATCGGAAGTCCTCAATATCTGATCCGACCCAGTAGCTTGCCATCCAAGATTTCATGCCGACCACATGATGAGCTCGAGGAGGTCGCCACTTTACCTGCGAGGGCATTGGGAACTACATGAGATTATCTTTGGTTTGGGATGCATCACAACACTTAAGGGGGTTAGTGCTTGGGTTCGGCTCCAGTTTGGAATCACAGCAATGTCAGAGTGTCAGACATGCCTACACATGCATTCGAAGGGCCATGCTTTTTTGTTGCGCACGGCTGAGCGTCTATGCCACATACTGGTAGCCAGTATGCAGCTGCACTGCACCGCATGGCCCTATACCTAATGTAAATGCCCGGATGGACTCCCCAAATAAATTGCCTGGTCCACGCTTTTAAGTGGATCGAAGCAGGCCCAGTGCGTGAGCACCAGGATTGATCAAAAGACGGCACTGGCAGCAATCCAACACCGAGGTATAGTGCGTGTAGTGGATATAACAGCCAGAACATCTTTGCATCGACGTAGCTAGCTACAGTTTACTAGTGTGCCCCAGCTTTCCAGCACCTTAGAGAAGAATCGGAAGCACCAGCTGGTACGCCAGCTGGTATTCAGCCAGCAACCTAGCCTAGTCACGCTTCTTCAGCTCAAGAACAACAGCCTTCGCCTGGGCCTTGACCAGCTGATTCTCCACCACCTGTGCAGACTACTATTATAGTTCAACCCCGAGGTCACCACAACATTTTAAAAGAAACACAGCCAGCTAGTGGCCTCTTCGTGGATAGCCCGACACACAGGATCCATCGCCGATGAGCTCTTCTTGCCCTTGAGCCTCTGGCATCAAATATTGAGGCTTATGTTTATAAGGTGCTCGTGGCTGATTGGGGTTGGCAACGACTAAGTGTAGGACTCTTCAGCATGCTGCATCAACTGTTGCTGATGGTCTGCTAGCAGAGTCTTCAGCTCGGACTCATCGGGGAGGTCCATGAGGAGGCATGTCAGGTTGCCAATCTCCCGGCGCACTTCATTGCCTGAAAGCTACCCATTACATAGGTGTACATATTATTTGGGATTTGCAACCATAGGATATATCTATATAACAAATGTTATTTAACAGCCTAAGGTCTATAAGGTTAGGGGGTTTATCTAGGTGCTATCTTGATAGTCTAATAATGCAGCCCACACTACTCCAGCGAGTGTGCTTCTCACTGTCGTTTTTGAAGCATTCCTCGATTAAGGGTCGCCGTTTGTTGCCGGCATTCCCATTCCCCGACGACTTGTTGGTTTTTGTAGTTCTGGTGGACGGGGCATGCGACGGCGCTCCACCAGATGCAGCCGCAGCCGCAGCAGCAGCAGCAGCTCCTGTCCACACATGGTAGTCCGAATTAAGGCTCCATAGTTTTGTGTTGGCGGGTTCAACTCCAAGCAGGTTGCTTGCACTGCAGGCTTTATGTCATAGTTAAAAGCTACTGGGGTTTAGGGCCAAGTTTAGGGGTTTAGGCTTTATTTGGATTGTTTGAAGACAGAAAAGATCAATCAGTAAAAGTTCTAAGGTTCGGCCTGCGTTGACAGAGGCTGCTAGGTCCGTATTGTACTTGTCAAAGGCACGCAACACATCCATGTTCAGCCCCGACCCCGATGCAGTAGGCGTCGTCTTGCTCGGGCCGTTGAAGCCAGAGTTGACGGGATCGCTCCCCAAAATTCCATCAACCACCGCACCCGAGGCCTCCATGTTCACGGACATGCGCTGCGACAACTCCACATCGACTTCATCAGCCGCCTCGACTACATGGGTCACCCAGAAGCCTGTCTCGGCCAATACCCCTGGGGCGTCGGGGTCACTGACCCCACCACCCTTGGCAATAATGGCCCCTCTTTCTGCCTAACTGTCATTCATAATAATGATGAGGGAGTTACAAAGTAGTTGGGGTATACACAATAAGAATTGCATATTGATGTCAGCACTGGGGCTTGCTGAACCGGTAGGGCGGCTCCGTCATGTCTTTCACCGGAACAAGTCGTTTCACTGTCCTGGCTTTGGATCGCGAGGTCCTTGATGCCTGGATGGAGGCCTCTGTGGCAGCAACGTTGCCACCCGTCTGCACCCAGCGTTTCAAGAGCTCTTGGCGATCCTGGTGCCATCGATCATCTAGCTTCATAACTTATTTGGTTTCATGCAGAACATGAACAATAATGCGCGCAGCTAGTGCATTAAGTGAAGCCTGGGTAAATCATGCACACATATTAACAGAACCTACAGTCTCATACAAAAATACATGTATATATATGTATATATGTATATATATATACATATATATATATATATACCATTTAAATGAACGATTATGTAGGGATTGAGACATGCATATATGTGTATATATATATATATCGACACATGTAGTCACATGCACATGTGTATGTATGTATGTATGTATGTATGTATGTATGTATGTATGTATATATATATATATAGGTTGTGTTGGGGAGATATTTGCATGTCAAGGCACCATATCTCCGACTTATGTCGGGAGTTCTTCAATCATGATGCATATAGTCTTCAAGACTATATGTGGCCATGCACCCAGACCTGCCTAACACAGATTCGAGCTGCATGTGCATACAAGTATGTGTGTCACTATCTGCACATGATGTCATTTGTGCATTGATGTGGTGTGCTTGATTATCTTTTGTGTATATAGCTGTCGACAGCTAGCACATACTACAACATGACTCCTAGCACATGCATTGGTTTATCTAGCAATACATGAATGCCTGCTGAAGCTTACAAGCTTCTGTAGCTTGGTTTGAAGATTCTTGGGTTTAAAGGAGTTACATACACCGTTTGCCACATATTTGCAATACCAGTAATTCCCTTTATGCCCATATCGCCAAGCAAACCTATATAATATTGGTCGGCCCTTAGCCAGCTAACTATAAAGTAACTATACCAGTTGCTTAGGCATTTATTGGTTTGCAAGTTGTGGGCAATTAAGATTGTTGTTCTTGCAGGGGCACAAGGAATTGTAGGATCACTCCACGACAGAGTTTAGTATAAGAAGCTAAACAGGGATACAGAAAGGGCATGGATTGATGGTGCAAAACCTATTTGGGAGGCCATCCAGTGTGATGCAAGCGATCATGTCGAGAACATAATAAAAAAGTAAGAGCCAGAGAGATAGATAGATATGTATATAGATAGATAGATAAAGCAAGAGAGAGAGATAGAGAGAGAGAGAGAGCACATGCATGGGCCAAAAAACAACACATTAAGTATTGGTGTGATCTGGAGAGTGGTGACTAGCTTGAAAGCCGGCCTTAAGCGTGCCCTCGGCCAGCGTTGACATGTTCGGACACTTCGTGGCCAACGTGCCAGTCTTCATCAACCGGTCCTTATCTAGAAGGCCACAGCCCAATTACCACAAAACTGACAAAACCTAAAGAGCTACAGTGAGACCCCAACAGCCAAAAGCCAAAATCACAGACAAAGGCACCAGAACCATGTACTCACGCTTGTGGGTGCGGCTGTTGATGATCTCCTCCTGGGGCGGCTCCGTTGCTCTTGCAGTTGCTTTGGGGTCTGTCGGCACCGACGCCGGACTGGATGGGACGGACTGCGTTGCAAAGATGCGCTCCGAGGACGGCTGGCTGTCACCGACAGCACGGCGGGCCTTGACCTCCTCCACAATCTTCGTCTTGTCCGGCTTCCCCATAGACCTCGCAGCCACTGGCGGGGGCTCGAGAGCAGCCAACTCGTCCTCGAGTGCATCCTCCAGCTCATCATGGGGCTCTGTAGCCTCACCCTCGGAGCCACCCGAGGCTTCAGCATCGTCCCCGCCGGCATCGTCGGTGCACATGGACCGACCATCCATATCCTCATCCTCGGGCTCCGGCGCAGCTGGAGCAGGAACCTCCACGCGTGGGGGGCCCATGTCAGAGACCTCGGCCTTGGGCTCTGCAGGCACATCCTGCCCGCTTGCATGCAACTGCTTCACCAATGTAGCCTGGTACAGCTGCATCTGTTCGATCATTTTCTGAAGCTTCGCACATTCCACCGCAGAGGAGGAGGAGGAGCCAGTCTGTGACACAGACCCACCCAGCCTCGGCAAAAAAAACACACAAAGGTATGTATAGTGTGACCGATGCATCGCACACACACATACACTTGCACATATGCATGATGCATATTATATCAAGCTGCCCTGCAAGAATTTGGGAAGCATTCTCCATGACCACAGTCTCAGCTGTATCAACACCTCGTTGCTTGCTCAGCTGCTGGTCAGCCACATGCAAAGTTCCACAGGACCTGAGCGGAAAAAAAACAGAAAGATCAGAGATGTGTATGTGCACATGCATGCATACAAACCCATGCATGATAAAGTTGTGACAAGCAAGCTGCCATCCCCGACGAACCGCAACCGGAGGGAGTGGATTGCTGTCCACTGGTAGACTTTCACCCAAGTCGGTCGTGGCACGGAGACGCAAAAGCCTGGGTGACATGTCCTCGTCATGATCCGGGACGGTGTCACTCACAGCATCCCCTTTCGCATCTGATTTCTTGGACACTTTGTACTTGTCCCAGAAAGCCTTGAGCTGGGGGCTGGGCTCGACAGACTCACCGTCTTCAAGAGCTGCAGGCTTCTCAGTGGCTACTAGTGCAACATGCGGAGAGGCCAGCTTGCAGGGATGTTTGGCCTTGCTTGTGACCTCCTCCTTGCATGCAGTGTCCTTGACCTTGCTTGTGGCCTTGTTTGCGGTGTCCTTCTTGCTTGTGGGCATGACCTTGTTTGCGGCGTCCTTGACCTTGCTTGCGGGCATGGCCTTGTTTGTGGTGTCCTCGACCTTGCTTGGGGCACTGACCTCGTTTGCGGTAGCCTTGCCCTCGCTTGCGACTGCCTCGGCTCCACTGACGGTGGCCTTGCGCTTCGACTTGGCCTTGCTCCCTGCACTACCGATGCCACGAACATCACACTCGCCCTCCTCAGCCTCAGCAGGCACCGAAGGCACAGCAGCGCTCTTGACCTTCTTGGTCTTGGCAGGTTTGGGCTCAGGTGCACCGTCCTCAGCCACATCGGCAGCAAGGAACTGCTTTGTTTCTTCGCGAAGACGCATAGCAACGCCAACAGCCTCTTTGAAGGAAATCTCCTCATCCTTCATGAGCTGCCCTATGGTGATGTCGCCACCTATCAGGAGCGGTGTATCCATTCGGAAAGACCCAGACGAGCTGGCCGTCGTTGAGGCTTCCGAAGCTTCACCATCGGCCTCAGCAACTTTCTTAGATCCCGCACACTTGGCCACCTTGGTTGGAGGCTCACGAGCACCCTTGGTCTTGGCCATGCTTCGCCCTGCTCCACAGCGGCAGAGAAAACTCCCAGAACTCACTCGACAGGCTGTCAAGTCCTTGAGTACATGAAAAAAAGAAATGCATGTCACAGAAGCACACATCGTATTTGGAACTCTTTACCTCGAGAGAATGACGAGAGCAATTAAGTGTACCTCGTTCATCACTAGTATCGACATCACATAAGCCCGTATTGTATAAATGTTCCTAGGGAACAAAGTCATTGCTGCTCCCAAATCTAGCCATTTAGGCAGGTAGCGAGTTATTATCACGGGTTGGGATATGGATGCAACCGTCCTAGGTAATATGTAGACTTATAATAATTCAGCAAATCCAAAGAGCTAGCTGGGTGCCATATAGTACAGATATAACAGGTATCATTGTCAACACATGTGGGAAGAAACTCTTACAACAGCCAAATTCATAATATCCTTGGGGACATTCAAAGGCTGACAGACATCATAGCTTTCAAGGGTAAAAGTCTAGCTAAGGTAGCATATAACCTGAAAGTGCCAGTGGTTGCCCTAATTTGTTCTGACCACTAGATTTGGCATTTATGCCAGCCGCAGCAGCAAAACAGCAGAAACAGTTGAGATGGAACTTAGTGTAGTCTGTAAAGTAGATTCACGCGGATCCCGCTGGATCCCGGTCATTTCACGCTGGATCCCGGCCTTTTCACGCGACTTTGTCCGATGCTGATCCTGACGAATTATGCTAGTCTGAAACCACCTGGAAGGAAAACGACTTAATTCTTGTACAACACTATTTTTAGTCTACAAATCGATATACCCACTGCTGTTGCACAAACACCCGGCTAGTTCCTGTCTAGCTATTGCATTGGACTTTCGACAGAGTCCCTGGCATTCCTCCGACTAGGCTGCCCGGGATCTCTTCACTAGCTGTGCTGGCGTGTCATCGCCACAGGTTCTCTTCAGCATCGCCAGTCGGCCGGGGCTCACACCCCAGAAGAACCTCGGCGAAAGAGGGCTCAAACTATTTTACAGCTCGAACTTGGCGTGGGTCGGGATATGAGTTCAAGCGGCCTGGCACAGGGGATTCACACAAAAGCATGACCAACACAGGATTACCCATGGATTTTGGGCTAAGTAAGCAAGCACAGAGCTTGCACGGTTTCCCAGGGCATCGTAGCTATTTCTGCTTCGGATCATGCACATGGGGAAACCAAATGGCCTAGTTCCATTGTATGAACTTAAGAGTATCAAACCATTGTTTCCAGAAAACAACGTCTGTAGATGTTCCTACACAGTGGTTTCTGTTCTGGGGGGGATGCTGCGTGGGAATCGTGTCTCAGTTGACTCAGATCGGTCCGAACTAGCTTTGAGGGCTTCTTGGCTCATTAGGAGGGCAGGCTGGTTCCAAAGCTTTTTTTCCATAGACTTACCCTTGCAAGCTCCTGTGCTGCTGTAGAACTCAAACCAACAGCCACAGCACCCTAAAACACCCTGAGCCTCCTACACAATACCACCCTTCAAAGTGCAGCAGAAGTTTGGTGTAGATGGACTTACGCAATTTAAGGGGATTCGTATATAGGGTTTGCTGCAGGGTTGACTATCGTGGGCTTAGAGGCAGGATGCCGTATACCAAGCTTGCTTAATTAATCTTCTATTGACTAAACAAACAAACTGGATAGCTAATAAAGACGATATGTTCAACAACCTGACCCGAGAACACGTTTCCAGGTACACTGCCACTGCATACTGGATGGGGGCCACTATCGTGACAAGCTGGTGTGAGTTGTCGGGCCTTGGCTTGCACTAGACTTAAGGCTGGGATAAGGCATCTTGTGCACAGGGTTCTTGGAGTATGTGTAGCCTACGCACTAAATCAATGTCGTCTCGAAACCACAAACACTTCTATATGGATCATCAAGAAACATGGCAGTCACAACCAGCTCTGTTGGGCAAATTTAGGGCCTAGGTGGTTACCCTCACAGAGGATTCGGATACTGAGGAAGTCTAGCTCACCTATCGACATAGCCCACAAACAAAGTGCAGTCCATACTTCGACCCAGAGGGAGTGCAGAACCCATCGTATATAAACAACCCGAGAGCTAGTCCAACGAGCATATACCTTATGGTTTTAGGTTTGAAGTTCCCGGTATATAGCAAGTAATTGGATACACAAACAATAAATGTATCATAACCTGACCTAGCAAACCTTTTAGTATATTAACCTGCAGACACCAGCCCCTAAAACAAATACCTTGGCGAAACAGTTGCTTAAGTATCTCCATTATTGTAGAATCAATCCGCAGTCCTGCGGGTTCCACTGCAGCAGGCAGAGGCAGTAAGTTGCCCGGATGGGCACATGCTGCGACTTTTCGGGCTTCATGGGTTAAGGGCTGGTTTTGAGAGGAAGATTTCAATCTAAGTATCGGATTGGGATCTCAGAGTGGGCATGCTACTGTAGTTCGGAGTGGGGTGCATTCGACGGTTGCTACCTCGGCTTCTGTTGAATCCAGGATTACAGGGGACTGGCACATGTGCTATAAAGATTTGGGTTTCTTTAGATAGGCCTCTGCAGCCTTAAATGCTATGTGTTGGGTTGTCTTGGACTCTGAATACAAACCTTTTGCAATTAGTCTTAATCATCCCATACAGGAACAACTGCCATAATTAATGGGTTCGGTTCTGTTTTGGTTGGAATGCTTGGGGAAATCTTAAGCTCCTGTTGTAGCTTCGCAAAAGTAAGCCTTGCGTTGAAGTTGTGGAGTTCGAGTTCACCTTCACTATTATGCACGACTTCCTACATCTTGGAATCGAAGAGGTTCCGAGGCCATTGCAAAAGTACTATTACAAGTAGATGTCCCCTTAACTCGGATATCAGCATATTGGAGCTTAGGGCACAAAGCTCCTTCCCCGAAAGAATGGAGAACCTTAAAACCAACTTCTGTAGTCAGTGTTATAATATGGAATTACCATCCACGCCGCACACGCGGAACCCAGAGCACTTGTATTAGACATGTGATATCACACAAGCCCCCGTAGAACTACATCAGAAAGAAGCTCCCATGAACTGCAGCTTGAAGCCACATGTACGTGATCCCAAGCCCCTCTTTCTCCATGCTTCTTAGCCTAGCTAAGCCTGTGTTTTGACTATTATACCAGAACCTTGTCCTGCTGGACACGCGCAAATCAGCCCTGTCTCTTCTCAACAGAAATAAAAGCCTTCAGCTCGCATTGCTACAGAAGCCTACCTATATGTTTAGGGTCGTAAATTAACCAAGCCAGGCACAATGCAGACCAAGCGACTTTCGAAGCCGCTCCACGATGTCGTCCTTAAGTAGCAGTAGTCTAGCAGTTGCGGCCGAGGTTATCAATATGTGCACCATGGAAGAGCACCTCGATGCGATCACTGCGTGGCTTAACATCGCATCAGCAGCACCAAGGACAGTGCTGTGGAAACTTTCCATGTCACTCTTAAGACTATGTCCATATCCCGCTTAATTGCTCATTCCCCCCAGGCAGAACTACAGCATCCCATTGAAGAAAAGAGCCCCACACTGTAAATATGTCGCAATCGAGAAACCCACTGGCCCGGAGCGTTCAGGTGCTTGCAGAACACGAGGTAGCAGATGAGCGACGGTAGCTGGGCCTGCCGGATGTAGCAAAGTGTGGGACATTCAAGACATGGGGCTTTTCTGGTTGCCGAGTACACTACAGGGGAAGCCACGCATGATTTTAGACATATATGGGTGCACTAGAATGACGACTTCACTGCAGCACAGATTTCCACTAAGCCACCTCCTTTGCCAAATCCCCAAAACTGTCCATGTCCAGGGTGGCAGGGAGGAGGTTCTTCACAAGCTCATAGTCGCTTTGGCCCCAATCCAACTCACGAGCCATCTTGGGTCCAGGGAGGTTCGCCTCAATTGTCCTTTTTGGACTAGTCGTTGACCAAGGATTGCAGGACAGAGTAGGATTCACACAGCTGGGCTTGCTGCTTGCATGGTGAGTTGCTGCATCACCACTGTACCGAAAAAGCTCGGCAATCTTTTCACCAAACTTGGCAGTGTACTTCCTGAGATTTTCGAGCATGACATGTTCAAAGCCGATTGAAACCTTAGGAATCAACATCAGATAGAATTAACAATGTGTTGGCATACACTTCTACAGCTAGGACACGCAGAATCTGGCAGCAACAATGACTTGCCAGTGTAGCGGATCTTGCCAACTTTCGGATCGTAGTAGTGATGTGCAAGCTTCGACAGATTCATAGCTTGGCGATCGGCCGTCGAGAGGAAGCCGCCTTCCCGAACAATGCCCTCGATGAAATCGCGATCATTACTCCAGGCCACGTGGCGTTTTGCAGAGCCCTGACCGTAGTTCGCCATGTACCAGTAGCCCTTGAACACCTAGGCGAGCAGAGTTGCTTCACAGCATTTCTCGTAAGTTTCGCAGCACAAACTTAATCTTCAGATCATTCGGCTTTTGGGTACAAGTTGCCCTGACACGGTCCAGAAGCCACTGAAAGCATGGCATGTCAGGCAGAAAAGATCCAGCCGGCTGTTCCAACAGCCAACGGCATCCCTTCATTGACACCACCAGAAGTAGGAGTACAACTCTCGCAGCCAGCAAATTGCCATGTCCGACAAAGTTGTACCCAGCATTACCCAGCGGTTTGATGATGCACCGTCCTGACGTAGCCCGGGACCTGTGCAGTAGAAGGAATGCTCAATGTTTCTATGCAGCACTTCACTCACCCTTGCCACCCACACACTTGCAAGACTAGCCACATACCACTGAAGCTGTTGCAACATAGCCCAACAATGCAGACACCGCCGCGCTTCAGCCGACGAACTTCATTAAGAGCAGCAGCAAAGCCACCATCAGTGGTCATATCAAGCGCAATGGGATTATGTTTGATGTCCAAGGCCACACCAACATTGCCATCCTAGCTTCAACAGTCACTGCAGTACAAGGCAGAGCAAGCTACAGCACTACATACACAGACTGTAGCACACATAGGCGAGGCTCATCACGCAAGGCTCCACTGACGTGCCCCATGCCGGCAAACAGCTCCACAAAGTCATTGTCCTGCAGAAGGATAAGCATTCTGTGCATTATCAACCTGTACAGTTGAAGCTCCGAGTATCCATAAACGAGTCTCCGGGTGGATGTTAGTCTACATACCCATGTCTATTCTAATTATACAGTCATTTAAAGGCTAACAGCACAGAACACAAAGCCCTCCCAAGCCTCCCTTTGGCGAATGTCAGAGTTGAAGGCCAGCAGGAGACTGGCTAAACATAGCCCCACAGGTGCTCCCCATTGCAAGAGCTCAGCTACAACCATGTGTCCAAAACTAAAAAACTAAAAAACTAACTGGCGACACCTGGAACTCTAGAGCAGCAACAAACATGCAAGCATCTCCAAAACCCACATGTCAGCATGGTTGCACACACGTGTACCAGACAGGCACAATTGAAAAAAGAGGTCTGCTCGATATGTTTCATGCTCGCGAGAAATGGAGTTGCACACGTAGCACCGTTCGATGCATGACCATAGATGCTTGCCAATTCTTCGGCTCTGTACAGCAAATTAAGAGCTTGGTGTCATGGGACATGCCACACTCATACATCCAGCGCTAAGCAGGCCAAGTACATCATGTAAAGCTTTCCGAGCACAAGCTCAGTCGAACCTTCGGCGACTGAGCTCCGAGGGCGAGAGATTGCTCAATAATGCCCTCCGTTCATCACTGTAATTCCAAGCTTGCTGAGCTTCCCAGTAATTCAGGAAGCCATCCATCATGCATTCACGAACGTACTCCTTCTTCCTCTTCCGAAACTCACCCGGCACATAACAATTCCCATGGGGAGCAGCAACCTCCACCCGGACCTTCGGGGCAGATTTAGCCTTGACTTTCGCCTTGGCCTTGGCCTTAGGTTTCTGTTGATCATCATTCGTCTCACTCCCATCCGGCTCAGGAGTCTCATCTTCCTCACCCGCGCTCTCGTACTCTTGCCCTTTCCACCTGAACATGTGGAGCTCACATAGCCCAAAGTGCACAATACCAAACAGCGACGACATCAACCAACTATGTAACCTTGCTGTAGATCTCCCTGCACACCGGCATTCATTTTAGGTTCATGTTCCCTAGTTTTTGCAAAGCCAAGCGACTGCATGCTCGGCAGGAAAGGCTTGACCGGGGCGGCCTTGGACATATCCTCGATGCTGCTCAGCACCTTATTTGTTCTGCATTCAGGATTTACTTTATTTAGAGGCCATGTACTGCATACACATATCGGGAAACATCACATCAACGAATATATGTTTCACAACAAAGCACCGACGGAGGAACCACGAAGTTGTTTTGCATCTGGTCCGGGGTCTTGTGCAACTTCTGCTGCTTCAGCTTTAAGAAGATTTCATTGAGCTTGGCAGTTGTCGTTGCAGCCGGTGTCGCACTGTCACTAGCACTCACTGCAGTAGAAACTTCCGAGAGTGTGTCTTGCTTTGCAGCGGGCGCCACCGAGGCGGATGCAGACAAGGAAAGCTTGCGATACTTCAGCACGAGGCTCCTCAGCTGCTAAATAAACCTTTCCGACAAGAGCATGGGGATTTAGCATACAACTGTATACGATGCTGAACAAGTATCTCAACACGACTGCTCGCTGAAGTAGCCGACGTCGTAGCCGGTGAGCACGGGGAGCTGACAGCCTTATGACTGTATGGTTTTGTTCTACTTGAAGCTATCTGTAATAACATTCAGGACATGTGTGCTGGCTGGCAACTTCAGCCGATCTCACATCAGCCTCGCATTCACCCAAAGCCTCCAAGGCCCCGAGCTCCCCGTCGGACCCCGAAAGATCGTCGTCTTCCACGTCAGAGTCTTCATCTCCAGACTCGGCATCCTGCATTACAAAAGCAATGCATCTTAGAGCCACAATTTGTTTGTGTGCTGCAAATCCTGCTTGGGAAGGAAGTCACTCAACTCTTGCTTGAGCTCTGCTATGGCTTTGTTGCGGGAAGTTCGAGCACGTTGCGCCAGGCGCTTGAACTTCGTTGCCTCGGCTGCTATGTGAGTGAGCCACATCTTCAGTCAGGACAAAACCGGCCCCGAGTAAACCCCCTTAAGCCTTAAGATCCCAAACATTCATAAAAAGCCTTGGGACCCTCAATATTCAGAGTAGTGCAATCTAGTTTCCAATTTCCTGATAGCATTGCCGGCCTTCAATGCCCAGTCTTGAATGCTGGGGGCATTTACACTGATGCCTCGTGGAACCAACTTCCTCCGGTGGTACCAGCACCGAAGTGCATCTGCTATCAGATGCGCAGAGTAGCGCTTCCGGCCCCTTTTGCTGCCACGCAGCACAGCAGCGATCACCTGATGTGCAAAATTTAAGAGGCGGTTTCCATTATGGCCAGGGTGCTATAATATAGCTCTTACGAGGACTTCTGGATGTTGGATAAACGATAATCCCACCAACTAGTTCGGGGTATTGCTTGTGGTATTGAGAAAGTAACTGGGGCTTACCATTGTTTGGTACGCACTGTGGGTCTTGTACTGGGTGCAGCTTATGCAGTTTTTGTCTCATGCTCCAGCCCTCCACACACCAGTCAAGGTTCCAAAAGGTTCATATTGGTTGTACTGGAAGGCACTCAGAAACACAGATAAAGATGGATAGGTAAATAAATCTACATATGGTGGATATGTAAACTGCGCAATATATCAAGATCTGTGTAAGCCCAGAATCAACCAAAGTCTTTAAATCACAAGCAAGTTGGGCCTCCTCCAATAACCGTCGGCTAAAGTTGCAAGGGGCATTATAGACAAAGTCCTTGGGTCTGTATGTGGTTCTGTAATTCTCCAAGCAACTCTGAAACCTTGAACTATAATGGGATGGGCTTCAGGTGATGGGGCTCATATGGCTCAGGATGAAAAGGAGCTTGGCTCGCTTGTTGCAGGAAAGGTTGGGCTCATCCGAAACGCTGAACAAGGCTATTGCGAGTCCATCCAAGGGCGTTGTCATATTGCTGAGAAGACACTCCACAGGAGGATCGAACGAGACACATTATTGGGGGTCGATAATACTGTTTTGGTTCAGATTAGCGATTTTCGAAATAAGGCTTATATCGAAGTATATGGCTACATATATACGTCTATACATACATATATGTATATAGAGTCATTATTGTTATTGTTGTTATGTATATATTTATTCATTTTATGTGCAACCTCACATTAAAGCCGCTGGAACTCGGCTCCCATGTAGAGGTTCCAGGGTTGACCTGCAATCTAAGTGGCACCAGTATATGGGCTTGTGTGGCCGGGTGCGACATGAAACAAGTTAATTAGAGCTACACAACTAGCATTTCTGAGCACACACGCACACACACACACACACACCTGACATATATATATATATATATATATATATATGCATGTATGTAACTCTACCTCTCTGTACTTATTTATATAATCATAACTATAATCTGTATTTGTGTATATAATTAAACATTTCGTCTCTATAACTATCGCTCTGTATGTATATATATATATATATATCTACTCCATCTCTATCTCTATCTCTATCTATATCTATATCTTTATCGATATCTATATGTATATCTATATCTATCTATATATATATATATAATCTATATATCTATATCTATATCAGTATCTGTATCTATATCTATATATATATATATATATATTCTATATATATGTATTTTAGAATATATATATATATATATACACATGCGTCTTCATATATACCGCATAAACAAACTTAATAATTATGCCAGATAATTAGTTGACCCTTATTTTTTATGAATATATATATATATATACATATATATATATATATATATGTGTGTATATATGTATATGTATATGTATATATCTATAAATAAATAAATAAATATATATATATATATGCCTATATACGTGATTTATGTATACTATTTTAAAATACTTCTATACCTAAGTATATTCTCTCCGGGAAGGTCGAGTGTTTCGGACTTCATGCGTGCGATATACATTTGGGCCTTAAGCCGAATTGAACCATCTGAAAATTCTTTAAGAAAATATTTCTCTCTCACTCTCGTTGATTCACTCTGTCATTCTACATGTTCCTCACTCTCTTCTTCCCCAGAAAAACCTAGCTAGCCCTTAAAGAGTCACAAACCATTGTTCAAATCGCACAGTATCCTTTTACCTCACCGATCCCCATCGCTTTATCCCTCCATCCTAAACTCTCGAACCATGACTCTCTCCCCCATGTCTCGATTTATCTTCCCTTTCTCTCTCCCTTTCTGTCACTCCATCTCCCCCTCCCACATATGTGTGCTGATTCCCTGAGTAAAGCTTGCAAGCAAGTTGCTCGTGGGTTCAACTCCACGTCTTTCCGGCTTACTTGACGTTTCTCTTTCATGAGCTGGCCAGAGCGATCCAGAAGGAGGTTGAAGCCGACCTAGGCCAGCCACAGTCAGACTACATTCCCCGCACATGCACACATACTGATTTCTCAAACTACACACGTACATATGCATGTGCACAGACAAAGGCATGTTCCCCCACACATATTTCAAAGTTTCATTGGGCATGTATGAACAGCTTTGCAACAAAGTGGCATTCTGAAGCGAAGCTTCACCCTCGAACTCAGAGGCTATAGAAGCTGCCTCCTCCGAAACCACTGGGGCTGGGTTCGGATCCTTGTCGCTCAAGTCCTTCTTCTTCATGCTGCACATGGCACAATGCAAGCTCAGAGATGCGTGCCCGAAACTTTGCTTAGGCCCCAAGGATGCACAGCAGCATTAGTGTCAAACAGTCTGTCAGACATGTGGCCTCACAGCTTAAGTGCTGCCAGATCAAAAAATTATTTGCAACATCTCATATTACACATGTGTGCATCTTTCCTGCAATGCTGTGTAGGTGCACACAGACAGAGTTCGTAGCAACTGGAAGCAAGGGAGGGCGCACCGGATCTTGCAGAGTTGAACACGTTCTTGAGCTTGCTCTTGTAGCCAGCCTGCATCAAAGAAACAGAGCCCACAGATTACTTGAATATTTCTTCTGGCACAGCTTTCGTAATTGAACTGTGAATACATATATGTCACACATGCTCGAGTGCATATTGTCTAAGATCAAGTCAGATGCCAAACCACAGACATGCCCGCACATGAACGCAGACACACTGCAGATGCAAATGACATGGCACTTGCAGGCCTCAGACATCGGATATCACCCAGTGGCGAGCGCACATGGCTCGCTTCATCTTCATTGGCACCTAATTTTTAAACCAGGCTCCGCACCTGAGATTTTTTAGCACAAGTGGTCCCCATTGGAAGGACCTGGAATCATCGGGCAAACTGGGGGCATAATTCTAAAACAATATTTAGCCATATATGTACCTGTCGAGATATTCACAAGAACAGACACACTCTATATATACAGGTATACTTTAACTTACACATTGCACCTATATATAAAGGACTTTATGATCAAGCAAGTGCTGCATGCTTACAGAGATATCCATGCACACACAAGCTGTAAAGCTAGCTCTATCACTGTAAAACTTACCTTATATACACAACGATGAAGTTTGCATGGCCGACATAACACTCCACATCCTCGGTATGCAAGCATCCACACCAGCTCGACCAGCTTCAACACTGCAGATCGATGGCCACATTTGCTTGCAAACCTACATTTTAGCATATGACTTGCGTAGACAGGCAGTCTGGATATCACAGCTTGCGCCGAACGATATGAGCTTCAATCCCCTGCACAGCTCTGCGCACATCAACTTCAATGCTTATCCTGGCTGGAATTCTTGAAGCTGTGCTAGCCTATTTCAGTCAGTATAGTATTACGAACAGACTTTCAGGCTGCAGGCGTTTGGAATCTCTTAGTCATATGAGCATCAGAAACACCACAAAAATATCATATATATTATTGACCTCATATTTTCAACATTTCACAACCCTTATCAGTTCTTTTCACATACGAAAAAAACAAAAAGCCCTCATTTTCAGGGTCATTTGACATGATCCACATCTTTGTGGCTTTTTGTTTTGGTGCATAGCCCTCTTCTTTCAAGGTCATCTAGTCTCCAAGGCCAGGTCGAAGCCAGCTCCCTCGCTCCACGCGGCGGCCTCCTGCCTGTTAAGCAGCCGACCGACCACTTCCTCCCTTGTGAGGGACGCATCGACCGACAGCAAGCGATGGCCAGCCGGTCATCCT